CCATACTACGAACGGAGCGTTCGGACGCTACGTACGGTGCTCCTGGCAGGCGCGAACAGCTCAGGGAACAGCTGCGAACCGAGCGAACGGTCCCAACAAATCCGCAGCGGTCGGACCGAACGAATCTGTGGTCGGGGACCAAACGGAGTTGTTCCACCGGTGTTCAGCCACTTAAGGGTCACGGGAAGGGATTCCCTTGGAGCGTTCATCCCGAACAGGAAAGAAGTTACTAGTAACAAGAAGCTACTAGGTTGGAGGCTATCGCTAGTAGGTTGGAGGCCATTGCTACTGGTAACAAGAGCCAATAGTAACAAGTAACAAGCCATCCGGGACTTGTGGCGTAACAAGTCTTCCTTAAGAGGTCCCGCCACACTGCAAGACTTGTCCTTTGACGCAGGAAGACGCAGTAGGCGACGAACGCGTCCCCTCAGGTCAATCAGGCGGTGGAACGCAGCCAGGGCGAGGACCGGTGGCCTTTCACAAGAAAGAGTGTGACCAAGCCATTAGAATGGTGAGCCCAGAGGTATTATGTAATTGAGACTTTTCCCCACCATGCTGAATGGAGTTTTGGGTACGGGGACGTCTGAAACATCATTTAGGATAAGATGCCTTCCTTTTGTAACTTTGGGCTCAACAAAAAGACGTAGCTTTTCTCATATTAACTCTTTCCCTCAACAGCAGCAGGTAGTTGAATAACCTAGAATGACATAGACCTCCATGTTACTATATACTGGGTTGTCGCTCAGAAACCAAATCACCCCCATGTTTCTTTTCACGGCTCACGTTGATTTCTGCCTCACCTGTACCTCTTGACCAAACGAAGGGCAAATCTCCACCACCACGATTCAGAGTTGGTAGAAGAAGTTGTGTCAATGATCAAAGGATCCAGGATTTTCGGTAGAACAAGCGATCCGGCCCTTTTTCATCCTTTTTCCTTGTTTCTTTCAATTTCTTTGAGCACGATCCGGACACTTTTGTGATCCTCGAAGATCTTTGCAGTCTGTGGATCCGTAATCGCAGGAGATGTTGGTTCATCGGGACTGAGCTTCGCACAGAGTCGGCCACTGTGATAGCTGGAATTTAGGCTCCACTTTCTGACAAAGATGATTAGCATAAAGCGGAGGATTGCTAGGGATTTCAGGTTTTAGTTATAGGAGTGGGTTTCGGAAAGGCCTACCAAAGTAAATGCAAGCTAATTCCAGATGGTCAAGATTGCTGATTCGCTTTTCTACAGGATTTGGGGGCAGAGTTGCTATGTTGATCCACATGCGGTTGCAGTGCTCAAGTATGTGTTTTGATGCATACTTGAAGACCTGTAGATTTTGAATGGTAAAGGCACCAATCACAAACCCTGCTGTGTTCATATTTAGAAGACGGCAGCACTTACCATTTGTGTAAGGGGATTACATGGTGAGACAATCCATGCACTGGGTGCAACGCAATTTAACGGCACGTTTCCCCAAAAACCTGAATTCCAAACGCAGTTCCCATGACGTCCCGCTCTCTTACTTTGACCCCAAGGAAGCTACTAGTAAACTAGTAGCTAGAAGCTACAAGGTGTTTCAAAGTGTTTCCTGACAACGTGTTTCAAAGCGAAGATAGCGACAACACACGTTGAAGTCCACAGTGGCCAGGAACCCGTCGCCGTGACCCACAGTGGTTAATGCTAACTGCTAACACTTGTGGAGACGGGGATCGCGTGAGAGAGAACTAGAGGAGAGAGGAGAGAGGCGGAGAACTCAAGTGAGACAAACCCAGCACTTTACTGAGTAGAATCTACGAGTAGAACTGTTCACTAAAACTCTTCGGAGACCCCCACTAGCTTTCCCTAATGAGCCAAATGATTGGTGCGTGAGCTATCCCGCTTCCAGTACCTAGCAGCTGACTGAGCCCTTACCTAATGAAGTAGCCACCTACTTAATTAAAGTAGTAGGGGGGCAGGCCATGGCCTTTGAAAAAGGGAACGGCATGAAACAGCAGGAAGCAAAACGGAAACAAACAGAAACAACAGAGTAGAAGAGCGTATGAACTGAGATGGTAAAGGCCTGACTTTTTGATATCGAATTGAACCTGCTAACTTTCTCACCCGACAGGACTTTGTCAACAGATATTTTGTTGGATAAGTCATCGCCTTTAGGAAGGCCATCGAGCCCTTGGGTGGCCATCGTTTTTGTTCTCGATTTTGTTCCAAAAGCTTTCCATCACGAGTCTCGGAGCTGGCCGAGCTGGGACGAGTTTTTTTTCAGACACCGATGTGGGAGAAAACGGCACCTCAGGACTTGAGAGTGTTGGTAAGAGTGATTTCGAGGGTCTAACCATGAGATTGAGATGCCCTCATGTGACGCACTCATGTGGCTTGTGAGACAACTTTGTGTAAGTGCCAAGCACCTAGAGGACCTAGCAAACGGAGGCCTCTCGTCTAATCTTCGCGATCTCCAAGCTTTTCCAAGTTCCTGCTCATCTAGAAAGATGCGCAGACCCTTGCCTTTTCAAGAAGCTGAATCCCCAGCTGATTGCGCTGAGATAAAAGGAGCATGCTTTGTTCGCATGGGACACCGGGCTGGAGATGTGATTAAAGACCAACTTCGCAACACTGACGTTGCCCCGCAGGTCATGGTGGATGTGATCTTGAACCACATCGCTGCGCCCTGCCCCAGCGCACTTGAGGCCAGACCGAGCACTAGTGACTAGTCTTGGTAGGGAAATCTGCGCAACAAGCAAATAGAAATAGCGACTCACTTTTCTTGCAGTTCTCCCATTCTTGTCCCCGAACGGATTGTGCTACGAGACCAGGTCAGAAACATGTGTCCACAACGCGAATTGGTGGTTCATGCTGGGCCTGTGACATCCTGTGAAATTGGTTGCCCAGGGGTCTTCAGGTGGGAATGAAGAGCCTGTTCAACTGACACTGCAGCGTTGCGCACTTTCTTTTGCTTGTGCTGAGCACTCCTTGGGTTCCCAAGAACTACTTCCTGATAGCAGAATCTGCCAAGGATATACAAGCGTTTTTATATCATCATGCTGATAGGGCTTGTTCTACCTTTTCTTTCTGCAACTTTCAAACCTTAGCTAGCTTCGTTTGTTCCGACAGGGATGTGCCGATTGCGAATGTGATGTGTTTTCCCCAAACAGCGAAAACGCAGCGAAAACGGCAGGTTCGGAGTCGCGTGTGCAGGGTCGCAGAATCTGATGTGTGTGGACATTGTATCAGAGGAGCACACCCTCTCGTGGTGGCGGAACTCGTTGACGGAGATTCCTCGTTGACTTGGAGTCCCAAGTGCGGGAGATCGGATGCGTTTTACTTCGAAGTGTTTTCTATTTTTGTGGCGGGCGCTGTGACTTGGATATGGTTGTCGATGTGCAGAACGGGCTCAGAACTAATTCTACCACCTCTTGCCCGGGATCATGTCTTCGTGAACACGCCAAACGCGTCGCCCTGTTTTCCAGGCAGGTTATGCGGCAGTGATGCCCTGCACGGGCTGGGCCGGGTCCAGCTATGGGAACCGCCGCATCAACACCCAGGACGGTGCCGATGGTGGTGGGGGGTAGTGTTCCAAAGTGCGGAAGCCGATGGGAGAGAGGTTTCTAAAAGGAAGATGTGACAACATGTGACAACTATGCTTTTATATATATATATATGTTTTTTTTTTGGTTCTTGCGTGCTACTACGTATGTCTATGTGATAAAGCCAGCTGGGTTTTCTTGGAGTTCCTGAGCATCACCAACTCTGACACTGTTCATGCCGTTTGGTGTTGAAAGGAGGCCACATGCACTGTCGGATGGCACGTGGGGTTGTGATCCCGGTCTAGGTGTTCAGTTAAGGATCTGTCACAATTTTGGGCATGTAGGTCTTGCAATGTAGGTCTTACTGTTGCCCATCATCATCGTATTGGTCACGATGATTTCTGGCGCCCGTGTTCTTTTTTCATTTCTTGGAGAGCTTATTCTCAAAAGCTATGATCAACAGTCTTCAGATGGCTCATGTTTGGGTGAGAAGATTCATGGAATCACGTGGAACCCCTAAAAGAACATCACCATACCCGCGCTGTCCATGTCTCATGGCCGAGCGAGCCTCCAGGATGGCTGGAAGGGCCCAGAGTTTTTTCACAACATCTTGGGGAACCTGACACCTGGATATAAACAGCGATGGCCTCCAACCAACCTACTAGCGATGGCCTCCAACCTATGAGCGATGACCTCCAACGTAATAGCAATGGCCTCCAACCTAATGGGATGTGTTGGTGCAACGGAACATGGCACGTTCTGTCGACCTCCAGATCACACCATGGCACGTTCGAGCCGCACCGGTGGACTAGGGCGAACTGGGGAACTAAGAAGTCCAAATCAATCTTGCCAAAAGGAAAGTCTTTCAAAATGGCGCTCAGAATGTTTTGCGAAGAAAAGCAGATTTCAATTCTGTCATCTCACTAGGTGCTGATTGCAAGTGTGTCTTTCAGAATGTTTGCGAATTCAAGACAGGTGTTCTTTACGGTGGTTCACTGTCACAACAAGTTTTAGAACCTTTGCAATCGCAGCCTGACCCCTTTGACTGCTGCGCTTGCAGCCTCAAATGGTTGAATTTCCCACAGTACTCCACATGGTACTCTCCCTTGAGCCCCCTTGAAGTAAAGTGCTCGCACACTTAGCCCAGCCATGGTCAAGTTTTTTTCTTCCCGCAGAATATCAAACACCTGTTGACCTTTTTTGGTTCATTGAGTGCAGTTCTTGTCAGCCAGTTTCTATGTTGGTGGATACATGGATGTAAGATTGCTGACCACAACCAAGAAGATGGCTGCGGGATGCTGGGAATCACCGCAATATAAAGCTGACTTCTGGGTGTATGTCCATGGGGTGTCTGCCAAGTCCTTAGATAAAATCTCTGTCACCGGATCAACCAATCCGACAGCAAAGCTTCTCAACATTATATTGAGGTGTCCAACATACTACACCTCAGCCAGACCAGCTAGTCTTTTTCGTTAAATTGCCCACAAGGGTCAGCTCTACTGGGCGGTTGGCGGTGCTCTACTCCTGAGTCTGAGCGAGGGAAATTTGCCAGTCCCTTGGTTGTGTCTCTCACACACACAAAGTTGCGTTTCCTCTGCCTGTGACACTGGCTGCCAAAACTGATACTCGTCAGAACGAGCCGATGTTTAGTGGTGAATCTGTTCTAGCTGGCATTGGTCCCATCGGAAGGCCCTACCACAAGCAACGCGAGTGCATGGGAGCCCAAAAACATTGCCCTGTTCTTGCACAAACGTTGCACCAACGGTGTTCGACGAAGAAACTCCTTGTCCCAAACCACCGAGGCCTTCGCGAGAGCAACGCAAGCGCCGGTCGAAGCACCGGCTTGGCCACTGAGGATGGGGAACTGTCCCGTCGAAGAGCCATCCTTCACCTGCCCACAGAGTGACCTGGGCAGAGTTGTCCAGCGACCGAACAACGAGAAGAGGACATGGTCATCGTGAGAAGACATCCCTAAATACAGAAGTCGGGAGGCCATCGCTACTAGGTTGGAGGCCATCGCTAGTTTCCATGCAGGCCATTGAGATGACTTCAAAAAGGCAACAGGTCCCTTGGTCGATATCCGAAGCCTAACCGGTTCGCACTTAAAGAGTTCGAGAGCTCAAGGCTGGTTATGTTCACGATGCACTGCTTCACCCGTTCCCCATTCTGTTCTTCCAAAAAGAAACAAACACCGGCCAAGGACCGCGTCACGCGATGCGTCACGCGATGCGATCCGCGATGCGATCCGCGATGCGATCGACTGGCAGGCGATCCTCCGGGGGATTGCACGCAATGTGACTTCAAGGGCTTGCCAGACGCTGGGAATCTTAAGTGTGTGACTCATGTGATTCCATTGATCAGTTTGGATCAGAGAAGTTGCAGTGTTTTTCTTGGCCCAGGGGACGTAGGCCGCTCGCAGGCTTCAGCTAACAAGCAATAGAGGGTGCGCTACTCAGCTTAAGTAGCTTCTTAGGCTTGAAGCCTCAGCCTATTATTACTGGTTTGGTTCCTAGACGTTTGAGAATTTGACATATGGTTGTCAACTGACACCTTCACCAGGACTTTGGGTATTTGACATTTTTTTTTCCGGTGAATTTATGGGAAGCTGCACTTACAGGTTAGAGGTTGTATATAGTACCTAGAATGAGGGTTGGCTTTGATGTAAGCCGCAACCAACGTCTCCTATGTTGAAGGCTGGGGCCTGTTCCAACGCTTCACTCACACTGGTTCCTTTCACCAAGTTGGTAACGCCCAAGCTCTTGCTTGACCCAGTATCGCAAGAGTTGGAATGCTGGATGCTAATGGATGGGTTCTCTCGCCGCGTGAGCATCAGTGGGTCCGAGCTTGTTGACAAGCCGATGAACTCAAGAAAAGGAAACTGTTGAACCACCTAATCTCATGATCAGATCCCCAGATGAAATGCTCAGAGGTTCAACTTTCAGGCTGTTTTTGCTCTGAACATGGAACACCCGATGTCCTCATGTTCTCTGTATGCTTTTTCTCGAGGATTGGAACACCGGCCTCCAGGGCACGTGTCCTGGGCAGAGGGTCGGTGGAAGTCGACGGTCGTCCCGTTCCTCGTTAGTAACAAGTGCCACGCTAGTAGTAACAGGTGCCTTACTAGTAGTAGCTTTTGGTTACTACTAGTAAGGCACTTGTTACTAGAAGCGATGCACTTGTTCCTAGTAGCTTATTTAACTTATTAGCTGCGGATGGGTGTGCATCCGCAGCCCCAATCTGTAAATTCGTTGGTGCAATTCTTCTGCAGAGGACTTCACTGGTTGGGAACCTCGTGAAGCCATCCTTGAAGAGGAATGACCAGGAATTCGGGGCCACTGGGTGTGAACGAACCGACGAACTGGGTCTAGTTTGTGACCTTGTTTTTGGAGGGGGGTAGGCCGGGTAGGCGGTGAAGGGGGGATGGGGGTAAGTAGTAGCAAGGAAACTACTAGGCTTAGGTTTCCATGGTTGATTTGGTTCCTAGATCTTGAGGGACACTCTCGCAGAGAAGAGCTTAGGAGGATCCTTTCAAGAGGCTCCAACAATCTTGCAAAATCGATTTGGTGCTTTCCAGGCGACCTCAAACCTTTTGGTTTGGGTGGACATGTCTAATATCTTCGCGTGATGACATCGCGCATAGAGGCTGGATGAGGCTGGCCCACTTTGCCCTTTGATGTTTCGACGAGAAGATCTTCCCAAAACTCCTTGCTGAAACGATCTGCCTTCTCCACACACGCATCCCTCGCTACGAACGGAGCGGTGACCGTCCGGGCGGTCCCGAGTCCCGAGGCGCGAGACCTTGGCGAAGCATCTCATGGAACTCCACGACGTGGGCGTCACCATGATCCGCACCTCGACGCGAGACGGACCGCAGAGAAAAGGTAGGTTCTTTACGCCTGGTGACTCCTTAATTAAAATCTGTAAGCCTGGTCACATCTGGGCCCCTTCAATCTGGGGCCTGCTCGTGGCCCTTCCCTTGTGCCTCTAGCATTTTGGAAGTGGTTGATGTTATCCAGACCAGGCATAAACAGTCCTTAGGTTCATAGGCCCCAGATCCAAGAAGGGGCCCAGTCAGACACGGCAGCCGATGGGATCACTTCGGTCGCCTAGAGGCCCCTTCATTCTCCCATCTTGGCTGTTACCATTGTGACCCAACAGATTAACTCCTAGAGACAGATGGGCCCGACCACGACTCACGAACCCATAAAGACACAACCATCATATGCAGAGAAAAGAGGACCGGTACACGCTGGGGGCGGAGGAGTGATGAAATGAGAGTCAAAGATGTCTGAGCCTTTTCGGGGATAAGGAAACTGGTGGTTTAAGCGGTGACCTGCGACGTGTTCACTAATGATATTTCAGGTGCGTGTTCCTTCGTTTTTGTGTTGGCTTTTGGAGACTTGATCTTCCCATCTGGCATACCCTCCGGGTGAAACCTGGGTCTTTTGCTGAGCCAGTGCATGGAGACAGCTAGGACGACAATTGGTTGGATGCACAAGTGAGTCTTTTTTTTCTTCATGTTGGGTCAGGGAGATACTTGGCTTTCATGGTGCCATAAATAAGCAAAAATCATGGAGAGACCACTGGCGTCACTGGCGATCATGGACCATAGCAACAGCATATGGCAGATCAAAACCTCACCCTACAAACCAGGGTTTCCGTTGATATTTTTCTTCGGTGGTTCACCAGGGTCCCCCTGTTTTAACCCACTGCCACAGCACTTTTAAAGACAGCGCAACGCGTTTGTGCTTCATACCCCTTTGAAGCGTACAGTAAGCTTGGCCTGTGGTTTGGGGTCGTAGTGAGCAAAAGCTGAATACTTGGTGCTGTGACTGCTGTGTGTTCTCCGTGGGTTTCTCGGTTGTCAAGCAAGTGTCCCACAGCTACCTCTGCTTCCTTTTTCGCAACTGCTGTTTTCCCGGGCCACCCGTCCTTCAGCTGTACTCCCCTTTGACCTCTTTCAACCATCTCTAGCCTTGTTTACCGTGTGGCTCACAGGGCGCTCAATGTGCTCAAACCATTCATCGCGAAACCTGACCAGGCATCGATGCTGCCAGCTACATGTCCTGGGAGGACACCGCGGCGCCGCTCGGTGAAAATGAGCTATTGCAAGTTACTACTAGCTTCTTGTTACTACTAGTAAGGCACCTGTTACTACTAGCGTGGCACTTGTTACTACTAGCTTCTTGTT